TTTGCAAAGTTATAAATAATTCATATAACATTAAATTTGAATTCTATGTAAACATTTTTTGGTATAAATATGAATTTATCATTTTGTTCAATTCTTAATTTATATTTAATAAAAAAAATATTTTTTGCTATAAATATGAGAAATTCTACATTTTATTTTATTTTATTTATACAATAATAAGGGCCAAATCGGAACAAACAGCGACCCGATCGAGCCGTGACCCGCATGGGCTCAACTTGGATGGGTCAGCGGGTGGGCCTGGGTTGTATTCCAAAATTTGTGGGTCGACTTGGAACCTGTCCGGAACCCGTAGCGGGTGGACTTTTTTCACACGAGTCATTACCGGGCTCGTATGTTGGCGAGCCGACCCGGCCGAACTATCCGGATTGACACCTCTAGGTAGATCTTGCAGGTAAAGGTGAATCTGAGTCCTTGAGCTTCTTCATAATGTGGGCAATTATTTTTGTCGAGTGGGTCGCGCAGGGATCTGAGTGCGGGATGCAGAGAACAGCAAGGAGACGAATGCTCTCCTTCTTCATAGCGGGTTTCAAATCATTGCCAACGTCATAGAGGCAGTTGAAGAGCATCGAAACATCGTCATTTGATAGTGAATTTATAATTTTTTCAAGGCTCCACAGCTAATTGGTGGATGTTGCGATCTGAAAGTTTAGATAGAGAGTTGATGATTTTCTACTTCAATTCAACCATGGCTAAATGGGATGATAAAGAAGATGAAGATGAAGCAGAAGATGATTTTGAAGGGGTTGCTTGGTTAGGGGATTTTGTGGGTTTTGAGGATCTCCGTGAACTCATTTTGAAATCTTGATAAAAGAATTAACCAGCAATGTTTCATGAATTAACTCAGTTTGATGGTGTGTTGTTTGGAGTGAATTAGGGCCATATTCTATGTCACCTGGATCTGGGTAGACAGTTCGTGGTGGTCTGCGACCATGACGGTGGCCGGAGGAGAGATTTCTGGTAGGTTGCAGAATTTCGATTTGTTGGTTTTGATGCATGATTTCGGGTGTATAAGTGGATGAAATGAGGAGTTCTTAGGTGAAAATTGTAGAGGATGTTGAGGAGATTAAGTTGGCAGTGATAATCGGCGGTTCTGGTAACCAGAATGAGGTGGAAATTGGGTCCATAACCGGCAGCTAGAAGCTCCTAACAGTTTTTTTAATGTTTTTATAAGTTTTGGACTGATTTGCTTTTTTAAAAAAGTTTAGGAACATATTGCAATTTATTTTTTATTTTTCTTTTTTCTTTTATTTAAATTGGAGGGTAAAATGGTCAAAAATTGGGGAAAATGACGTTCTGCGTCAAAAATGTGAAAGGTAGGGACGTTATGCGTCAAAAAATACAAGGTATGGACGTTATGCACAAGA